TGAAGTATAGTTTGATATCAGGTAGAGTGATACTTCCAACTTTGTTCTTCATTCTCAGGATTGCTTTGGCTATTCATGGTCTTTTGTGGTTACATACAGATTTTAGGATTATTTATTCTACTTGCGTGAAAAATGCCATTGGTATTATGATAAGGATTACACTGAATGTATAGATTGCTTTGGGTAGTATGGACATTTTAACAATGTTAATTCTTCCTATCCCTGAGCACAGTATATGCTTCCATTTAGTAGTATCTTCTTCAGTTTCTTTCTTCAATGTCTTACAATTTTACAAGTACAGTTCTTTTACCTCCTTGGTTAAATTTATTCCCTAGGGTTTTTTTTGTTTTCTTTTGTTTTTAATGCAACTGTAAATGGGATTGTTTCTGATAGCTTGTTATTGATGTATAAAAATGCAACCAATTTCTGAATATTAAAATTCATTTATCAGTTCCAATAGTTTTTTGGTGGAATCTCGAGGCTTTTCTATATATACTATCATGTCATCTGCAAATAATGGATTTTACTTCTGTAACACACTTTTCTAACCCATGCCATAGACTATCCCAATCAGATCTCTCAGTCAAGTGAAGACAGCTGGTTAAATTTTTTGATGAGTACCTTCCCATTTGCTATCCTTTGTTGTTGCTTGAAGAGAGACCAGATGTATAGGTTACACAGATGTTTCTGTCTTGAAATTTTAGCTTGGCTATTCTTCCCTAAGTGGGGATGTCATCCACTTCCACATATAAGTTATATATAAATGCTGCTTAAGTTAGCTTTCCAGTGATGTTCAGCCTTTATAAATATTTCATGTGATGGCATATTTCTTTTTCTTTGTAGAACAGTGTTTTATGGACCCAAGGAAATAACTATTCACTTATTTTTCCTTTAGCAAATTAAGCTGATAAAACTTTAGGAAAATTGCATTAGTATGACTTTGTTAGCTCTCAGGCAGTAAAAGTTAGTTATCTGACTTTCAAGAACTTATTTAATAGAAAAGCTAAAAGAACCGTCAAGACATCTCTTTTGTTTTATATACCTTACGTAGAAGTCATTTCTCACCGATAAGCCTGCATCCTGAAAGTGTCTTTTTGGGGGTAGGGGGTGCTATTTTATGAGTGCTACTGTGAATAATGCTGCAATGAACGTGGGTATACAAATATCTCTTTAAGATGCTGCTTTCAGTTCTGAATATATGTCCAGAAATGGGATTGCTGGGTCATATGATAATTCTTTTTAATGTTTTGAGGAACCTCTATTTTCCATAATGACTGCACCATTTTACATTCCTACCAGCAGTACACAGAGGTTCCAATTTCTCTGTATCTTTGCCAAGCTTGTTATTTTCTGTTCTTTTGATAATGGCCCTCCTAAAGGGTATAAGATGACATCTCACTGTGTTTCTGTTTTACATTTCTCTTACTATTAGTGATACTGAGCATCGTTTCAAAAGTTTTTTGGTCATTTTATATATCTTTGGAGAATTGTCTATTGAAATCCTTGGCCCATTTTTTTAATTGTTCATTTATTTGTCTTTGGGTTGGAAGAGCTCTTTATATATTCTGGATACAGGTCCTTCATTTGATATATGATTTGCAAAATTTTCTCCCAGTCTGTGGCTTGTATTTTATTTTAAATGATGTACTTTGAATTACAAAAGTTTTAAATTTTGATGAATTATATCAATTTTTTAATTTGGGGATCTTGATTTTGGTTTTGTATCTATGAACTCTTTGTCTAACCCTAGATCACAAGGATTTTCTCTTTCCTATGTTTATTCTAAAAGTTTTATATTCCAGCTCTTATATTTAAGTCTACAATTCATTTTTGGTCAATTATTTACATATAATGTGTGGTAGTCGTCCAAATTCATCTTCTTGGAAGGATATCCAGTTGTCTCAGAACCTTTGTTCAAGTTATCTGTCCCCATTGAATCACCTTAATACATGTGTTGGAAACCAGTCAGTCATATATGTGAGAGTATTTCTGGACTTTTAGTTCTATTCCATTGATCTGTATGTCTGTCCTTATGCCAGTACCATACTGTCTTGATTACTCTAACTTTATAGTCAATTTTGAAATTGAGAAGTGTGAGACATCCAACTTTGTTCAAGGCTGTTTTAGCTATTTTGGGTCCTTGCATTTCCAAAACCTGCTGGAATTTTGATTGGGGTTGTGTTGAATCTGTAGATCAGTTTTGGGAAAAATTGGTATTTTGCTACTTAAGCAATAATTGTCCCAGACAATCATAGCTCCTGGTTGGAGTTTCTAAGATCTGAATTCATATATATTAGGTCCTGACTGTGAGACAGGCTCATTCCAGAAACTAAACTCTTAACAGCAGCTGATTCTTACTAGAGACTTGTTGCTTCTTGTCTTATGGGAATTCCATAAATTCTTGATTTTCTCTGAGTTTATTCATGACTGCTGGATAGCCTGATCCTGCTTGCCATACCACATGTTCCAAGTTCCCACCAAAGGACAGGGTAATGTTTATCGTTGGCCACACCACTTGGCAGATTTTGTGTGGTTCTCGGCATTCTGGTTTAACACTGGTAAAACTTGAATTTGTACAGACTGCCTGTTTCCTTTTTGGCTAGGAGATAAGAGTGAGCTGCATTTCCTACATCAACTTTCTGGTCAAATGAGATTTTTTTTTAACCAGCTGTCTTCTTGAGGTGTGTTATTGGAAGACATCAACCTCCAGAGCCCAGGCAAAAGGCTGGCTGCCAGCCAATGCCGCTCAGTGGGAGTGCAGCCATCTTGCTCCTCAAGAATCACTGTATTAATGACCAAAAGGCTTTCTAAGTATGACTGCCCTATAGCCATAAAATCGAATCTGTTTTTCTGTCTTACCAAGAAAAATTCAGTTTTCAGTCTTATTTTTGGATTATAAATTAAGAGATGGCTCACTTATTGGTTTAAAGAGAACTAATCAAGTTAACCAGATTTGACTGTCTGATGCTGCTGGTAAACTTCTAAAATCCAGAACTGAAAAAATAAAAACTCAAAAACTTACTTAGCATTTTTATAGAGTACACAAAGTAAATAACTGGATAACAAATCTAATACACTATATGTATTTTCCCATAGGAAAGCACAAGGAGAAGACAAAAATATTGTGAGTCTCAAGAGTTTTTGAATCAAGTAAAAAGTTCTCCACAAAAATCCAGCTGTATACAGTTCCCAAATTCATTATATGAACCCCTTCAAGATTTTACCAGTCCAGACATAGTCAGCAAGTCAAGATGTCCATCTTGGTATACAAGCACTTCAACAACTGATATGGAAGTCACAGACTTAGAAAGTTCTACAGGATTGTGGCTTGCAATTTCCCAGTTTACGCTTAGTGAAGAGACAATGGCAGATGTGCATTATTATGGCATCACCATTCTTTTTCTTTTGGTGATAGTTTGTCTTGCTTTATATTTTCTCTGAAGATATCAAACAGAATCCTTTCTTAAACTTTCCAGTTCTTCAGCGTTACATTTTATTTTTATTATGAAATACATTTTTAGAATTAGTTTCAGTTGTACAACACAGTGCAATAGTTACACTTTTTACCCCTTGAAGTGACAACCCCCTTCCTCCAATCTGCCGCCCCATTGCCCCCCAATATCATGCATATCTATTACAAACCCCTTGACTCCACTCCCATACTATACTCCACGTCCCGTGACTATATATATATATATATATATATATATAT